CCTCCACCAAGCATGCTACCCACAGGCCCTGAATTCGTTGTCGAAACCATCATCGGCCAACGAACCACTCAGGTATCTGATCATCCGGAACCAATCACTGAATACAAAGTCAAACGGACTGGATACCCCGCCGAAGAATCTACATGGAAACCTCTCTCTAATCTTAAGAACGCCATGAAACTTGTCTGCGCCTATCATCGTGTTAATCCTACGTCCTAGATACCTATATCACTATGGCGTAAACCCCCGCAAAAAACCCTTGCATCCCTGCTCTACACACACCCACCCTTCCCTTGATCCACATTCCTGATGTCTGATCTGCCCTTGCCCTCGCCTAGCCTTGTCCCATCTGTCCTCTCCACTACCTTGTCTCTCTTGTCCAATGCTTGTGAACTTGCGTGACGCCAGCGATAAAGGATCTAATGGCAAGCGCACGAGGACGATGGCCTGCTGCCTCACTGTTCATGGAGATTATGCAGCTGGTTTGGCCACCATGCTGTTTCATTGGCCGGCATCCCGACTCGCGGACTTACTGGAGCAGCAACTTGTGACATGGATCTTTGCATCAGTCTGCGACTTCCTTGCTTCCCAGATCAGACCTCATTGCAGTTCGTGTACCGGACGCACCCTAGCACTTGGACCTTGACACTTGGACTACTACTATGCTTCTTGGTCTTCTACCTATCGCAGCTGCTGAAGACCGCTGCAGACCCCCTTTCAAGACAATTGGACACTTCGTTCCTACATGAGATTCTGCTTCCGACTCCTTCGGACACACCAGCCTTCGCATCCTGAACAAACATTTTCATTTTTGTTTTTTCTGACTTTGACAACCCTGTAGAACATCATTAGCAGATCCCTGTTTCCCTAACCATTGTCCCCCGTACCCACTAGAACATCAATAGAAATACCCTNCTAGAACATCAATAGAAATACCCTGTTTTCCTGAACACCGTTTCCCTTACCCACTAGAACATCAATAGAAATACCCTGTTTTCCTGAACACCGTTCCCCTTACCCAGTAGAACATCGATAGAAATACCCTGTTTTCCTGAACACCGTTTCCCTTACCCAGTAGAACATCAATAGAAGTTCCCTGTTCCCTGAACTCTGTTCCCCCTTAACCTATAGCGAACCATGCAGTCCCCTTAGTTCATCAGTAGGACCACCCTGCTCCCTATCTTCCCTTTAGTTCATTTGTAGGACTACCCTGTTCTTTCCAACCCCCCCTAGTTCATCAGTAGGACAACTCTGTTCACCGGTACCAAACCCTGTTCCCTCTTACTCCTGCAGCCAATGCCACCCACATTATACCCCTCTTCCCTTTCGACTTGTTAACCAGTGATCGGCCCCGTCCCGTCCTTCACAGATTTCAGCATTGCTTCATGATTTTTGGCAGCCGGGACGTTGCCTTCTAGAGGGAGGGGATAGTGTTACGGACTTCGCCAGGGCTCGATCCCTGGTCTATCTTTTGCTGTTTTGGCTGCATCCCGTTCTCGGCCTGGCATCCTTTTTCCAAACCCCTCCTTTGGTACCATAGGATTTTGGACAACTGGCGCCATGCTGCAATTCGGGCGCCACTTTCAAATACTGCATTTTTCAGTTCTGCCCTCGGGGCCTTTGCAGAAATGCCCCTGGTACCGTACGTGTCACCGGTACTTATACCGGCTCCCCGTACGGTACGGGGGGCAGTCTCGAACCAGTTCTCTGCTGCTGTACTCGTACTCAGTGTGACGTGCTGTTTCGGCATTCGGAATCCAAGACTTTGACTTTGTGCCTTACCACTGTGTCTGCGTCCGACCCTCAGTCCGAGTCGGTCGAGTCGAGTGAGTGAGTGTGTGTGTGTGCTCTCACTCTCTCCCTCTCTCTCCTCTCCCTCGGCTCACCCTCAGCCTCACCCCCGTTACAGTATCGGTACCCCAGTCTTAGAGTGGTAGAGGTCCTTGTAGAAATTGTTTGCTATCTCTAACATTCCTTCGCTGTCTGATCTCACGGTTTCGGGGCTGATNGGTATTGGTACCCCAGTCTTAGAGTGGTAGAGGTCCTTGTAGAAATTGTTTGCTATCTCTAACATTCCTTCGCTGTCTGATCTCACGGTTTCGGGAGCTGCGTGTGACCTTAGGCCTTCTATCGTGCTAGCTCCCGAATTTGCTTTGATTCGGGCAAAGAAGTGTTTTGTCATTGAGTCGCTGAGCTCGTATTCGCACATTCTTGCTCTTATTTAAAGGCCAGGTTAGTTTCTGCTACTTTCAGCGCAAACTCTAGTGATTGCTTTCTTTATTTCCTTATCGACGCTAGCTCCGTAGAGACTTTGGCCACGGTGTCTGAGAGAGGCGAATAGCTCTTCTGAAACCATTCCCATCGAGGATCAGTGCTTAGACGCACCGACCTCAGTCCTTCCCAACAGTCACATACTTCACTTTGGAAGGTCTGGCTCAGCAAGAGGGAATTGTTGAGCTTGTGGAAGATAGCTCCCTTTTCAACCACTTGGTTAAAGCAGATGACCAGTTCAGTTGGTTTGTGATTCAGTCCTGAGTATGGAGCCAACGGTAACACTTCAGTATCCTTGACTGCCCCCATCATGGCTTCAGACACTAGAAAGCAGTCTATTCTTGAGAAGGCCATATGGTTAGCATGGTTTTTCTTGACTAAGGTGAAAGTTCTCTTGTTAGGGTGAAGGATTCTATGGGGGTCTACTAGGTTGTGACCCAGCATTATTTCCTGGATTGGTGTTGCTTCTGATGAGTTTGGGGTGCTGGAAGATCGAGAAATACGGTCTACTGACGGGTCTATTGTGGCATTCCAGTCTCCTGCCAGAATACATGGGGTCAGCGGTGGAATCAGGTCTCCGATATGTCTTAGAAAGGTCGTCCTTTCTGTTGGCGAATTCGGGGCATAAATGTTAAAGAGTAAGAATTCCTCTTCCTCCCATTTCAGGTGTAACATACACCACCTCCCTTCTGTCTGGTCGGCTTTCTTGTCAAGAACTGAGCCTGCTACATATAGGCGGGAGGATTTGGGAATCAGGATGGCCGTTCCCTTAGAGCTTGTTTCAGGGTCAACCGACCAAATTTCATCCTTCAGGCCGCCTAGCTTCCTTGCCGTAAATGTGCTAATTCTGTTGTGTTCTATTGAAAAGGTGAGGTGTGTTTCTTGAAGCAGCACTATATCCACTATTTTCCTATTTCCCTGCGATAGGGCCTTCTTTACTTGTTGTTGAGTCCAAACAGCAGAAATTGCTTCTCCGCTCAGTTTATGGGGATGTCTGGCCTGGATAAGCTCAATTCTTAGTTGTTGAACTTTGGCTATAGATAAGTGTGACTGCGTGCTTATTGCGACCTTCTGGTGGCTTGGGAATGATTTGACAAAAGGCCTTAAAAGGGGTGTCATGTTGGTTGAACTAACATTATGGATAAGTGTGAATGCGTGCTTATGGGGACCTTTTCGTGGCTTGGGAATGATTTGACAAGACGACTTAAAAGGGGTGTCATCACTGTCATGTTCTTTATTGGTTTCTTTCTTCTTCATCTTGAATCTGAAGAGAATTTTTGGGTGACCTTCAGGGAAGTGCAGTTTGTATAGAAAATTTGCAAAGCTGCTTCAGCCCAGATGACATGTTTTTTACTTCGAGTTTTCGGCATACTTGCGGCGCGTAGGTGAAGTGCGCTGCGCGGTGCGCAGTGCGCCAATCCCAGGTGCGCGCGCGCAAAAAAAAAAAAAGAAAAAAAAAAGAAAAAAAGAAAACGTGATACACGCTGGAGAGAGAGAGAGAGAGAGAGAGAGAGAGAGAGAGAGAGAGAGAGAGAGCACAGAGCCCTTTCACATTATGCAGACAACCCCTCCCGGTACTTCAAAAGGTCCCTGCCAAAAATTGGCAATGGTTCCTTCGGCAGGAACGGGGTGGTCGTTGGAAGGGTCGTCACTGGACTCGTAGTAAGGAGGGAGTACGCCAGCTACATATGGTGTAGCTTGGATTTCAGGTCCGTGTTTCAGCAGTTATGGGTTACTAACTTACTAACTTGGCACTACTCACCAAATGTGCAAAACTAGAATGAAGTTTCTCCTAGAAACTGGATCCATACAGGCCATACGTTTTTCTTTTCTGCAAGTGCTGATGAGTGGAGCCAGGCCCTTAGGCCACTGCACGCAAGTAAGAAAAGGAAAAACTGAAAAACGAGACAGCTACTGTATGTGCAAAACTAGAATGAATCTTCTCATAGAAACTGGAACCATACAAGCCATCCGTTTTTCTTTTCTGCAAGTGCTGATGAGTGGAGCGAGGCCCTTAGGGCAACTGCACGTAAGAAAAGGAGGGGGGGGGGAAACGACACAACTACTGGAGTGTTTGTGGTAAGTTTGTAACCCATCACTCTTGGAACACAGACCTGAATCCGAATCCGGGATATATTGCTGGCCTACTCGTGGTCTCCCAGCAGTTCCAAAGGTTATGGAGACCCTGCTAATTGCTTGCAGGGTACTCTTTGGAAAGGAGAATCAAACCAATGAGCAGTCCGACGAGGCCCCAAAATATTCTCTTTCTGTGTGCTCACCCTTTTTAAAAGGGAGGGACACTTATGGGTAAGACAACCTACCGTTTCTGATTTTTTTTTTTTTTTTTCTAAATGCGCCGCATCACGTGTGCGCATGTGCGCTGCGGCGCACGTGCGCAACTTGCGCGCACGTGATGCGACGCAACTATGGTTTTCGGTTTCAACTTTCAACTTTCAAATATTTAACAAATGACTTTGGAAACCTATGTAGGTCAGGTCTGGATCGTCAGGGTAGTTTTCTGGCACGACCCGATGGATTGCACCTGGACAATTCGGAGTCTACGGAATGACGGATCTCATAGCCTAGCTTCTCTGTAAAAACTGTCTTGTGCTGGATGCCCTGGGCACCTTCATCACACCTGCTCTTTTGTCCTTGTCTGCCTATGTCAGGCGAGTGAGGGTTCTGCTTGTTTGTTTGCTGAGTGAGGTTTTTGCCTGTTTGTTCTGCAGGTTCGAGGGCATCTGTTATGCACTGTGGACTGGTTCTGAGAAGGTGCTTCCTAATGCAGAAGCAGTCATGTCAGATGCTGTGGTGTCACTTCCCTTCCTATTAGCGAATCGGGTTCGCTCACTTTGCTATGATCGGCTTGGCCAGAGATTCAATGCAATACTGACAAGGATGCCACAGGTGAGATATCTCTTCTGTAGCCTATGTAACTTCCTGTTATGCTCCGTGACAAGATCAGCATCTATCAGTTCTCTCCCTGAGGTTTGCCAAAGGCTTGCCTTCTTTTGAAGGAGTTTCACCTTCTTAACCCGTAGTCTCTCATTCCCTCCAGACGACCGATTAACTTCCTGACCTCAGCTGCATCGCTGAGTGGCACTCACACGCGTATGCATGTGCGTAATCCTGGAATGTGCCATGTTTGTGGCTGTATAAACGCATTGTCGTTTTACTCTTGTGCTTGTCCTTTTAGCTGGTGATGGCTGGAAGTTGGGTTTTGCTAACTCAGTGCAATGTTGGGTTTTGTTGGGATGGATCGTGTTGGGTGTTTTGCTGACCGAGCTCAATGTTGAGTTCTGGAGAGGTGGGGCCAGGCCTGGAATGTTTGTGAGTGGGCTCAGACAGTTTGCACAGTGTGGGTGATCGTTCCATGTGCTATTTTCTTCGAGGGCATGGTTGGGGGCCACGTGGCCTTAGGCAATAAAACAAGGGTGTTGAGTGAGGGTCCAATATCCCAGAGTTGTGTTCCGGGTCCATGTTGCTTTCTGTTATGCTGCGACTGTGGATAAGCTTGGAGGCTGTGTGCTGTGGGAAACTCCTGTGGGATGTAGCTATTGGAGCACATGGTTGTGGGCGAGGAAGCTTGGGTGCTTTACACACTAGCGCTCGCACTAATGCATGGGTGATGTCTGCTGGTGGGGGGGTTGCAGTCCAGTGTTTTGTTTCCCTCCGGTAGTTGCGTGAAATCAGGGCTGTGTTTTTTTCCTCTTTCATGGGCCAGATGGTAAAATGGAATAGTGGCGACGGGCCCATGCAGCGTTGACAACTGATTTTCAGTATAGTGATGGACAGCCCTCCACTGTGGGGTTGTGTGAGCACGGCCACAGCACTACGGTCAGCTGGGGATCGTCTTAGCAGTAACATTTCATTTGCGTGGATAAGGCTTGTATCGTTCCCACAGGTATTGTGACCACCGCATTGCAGTGTTGGACACTTAAACCACCAGTCCCTTTCCCAGCTACTTTGTTCCAAAGCAGAGGTTAACCCCCTGCATGGTTTGGGGCTTGGCCTTCCAGATGGAAAAAGCTGGCAGCACTAGGCAAAGAGTCACAATTTCATACACAATCCGGCTCGTTTTTCCTTGGCTCACAGAAGAAATCTGGATTGAGAAATAGAGGATTGGAGGGACTGGTCGCTCGAACCACCAGTTAACCCACAAACCAAAACTTTCAATTTTCGAGCCTCTGATGGACGGGTACCGGCCTCTGAAAACGTAATGTGGTACTGCCTCACGACGTTCTGAACCCAGCTCACGTACCGCTTTCATGGGCGAACAGTCCAACCCTTGGAACGTCTTATCGCTCCAGGTGGCAAAGAGCCGATATTGCAATGTGTTACATGGGTCGTGAATAGGAACTTAGCTTCCGTTTGGGGATGCGTCCTTGGACTGCTGTTGCATATTCTGCTCCTGTAGCAGTAGCTACTGCTGTGTTTTTAATTCATCCTATTGGACAAGGAAGCTTCTCTGATGGAATGCTTTTGGGTATTTCTGGAACTTTCAGTTATCGCCCCAACGGTAAACGCTGGGTGGTCAAGTGCGGAGTGGATAACTGCTGAAAGCATCTAAGTAGGAAGTCCACCTTAAGATGAGTGCTCTTGCTTATTCAACCAAGTCCTTCCAATATCCCACAGGGAATAAATAGGGCATGGGTAAGGTCACGGCAAGACGAGCCATTTTTCGCAATAGGTGCCAGGTATAAGTGCAGTAATGCACAGGAAATAGGTCGTTAATCTTTTTCTTCTATACTTTTACTAAGTGGAAGTTGGGTCTCGCGTGACGCCCCCGTGAGGCCCAACAAATTAAAAACAAAAACAAAAAAATTACTGGGGTGTGCACAGTGATAGCCTGGCCTCGCTGGCCAAAAAAAAAAAAAATGATGTTTACCTCTCCTCGGATCCCCCACCGGGGCCATACCCACCGCTGGTGCGGGGATGGCCGGGGGCGGGGATGCAGGGATGTGGGGGTGCAGGGGTGGCGGTGGTGAGGGCGGGGGCGCTGGGGTGCAGGG